GCCAATAATCTCCTTAAACTACTAGAAAAGATTATTCAACATAGGATGGAATGGTGGATTGAGAATAATAATATAATCCCCCCATTCCAATTCGGTTTTAGACGGAGTCTGTCATGTGTCGATAATCTTGCCATTTTTATCTCTAACATCAAAGCTGCAAATAATAGCCGTCAAGTCACAGGCGCGGTTTTCCTGGACATTGAAGGCGCCTTTGATAATGTGGTTCTTTCCGTATTGCTTTTAATGCTTTCTCGGTTAGGGTTCCCCGAGAAAATAATTAGTTTTATTTCATCGGTAATTTCGATCAGGAATTTAGACGGTTATATTTCTGGCATTCTTCTTCAGAGTTGATGAACAACAAGAGGCGTGCCTCAGGGCTCCGTCCTCAGCCCAATATTCTTCAATATTTACCTGTCGTTTGTAGAAAAAATATGTTTGCCACTCTCGGTAAAAATACTAATGTATGCCGACGATATTGTCATATACTGCTTTCACCCTTCAATTAAATATATATATATATATATATATATATATATATAGCACATCAACTTAATATTTCCCTTGGTAATCTCAATTCTTATCTCAAAGACCTCGGCCTTAAACTATCTCCGGAAAAGTCCGTCGCGTCTTTCTATTCTCTTAGCTCTTTGAGAAAAACCAAGTGGACGATTAACAAAACCAACATTAAGGTCTCTCTTAATGGCTTCGACATACAAATCGCCTGGTGTGTCAAGTTTTTAGGAGTGTATATTGACTACTTCTTACGGTGGAAAAGGCACATAACCGAGATCCGTAAACGCGTGCTTCTTCGTATTAACATTCTTAAGGCCATCGCGGGGATAAGGTGGGGTGCCCACCCCAGTGCGCTCAGTCTTGGACTGGGAGTGCCAAGTGGTTTTACCTTTGCGACACAGATATCGTTTAACACTCAGTAGACTTCAGTATGCCTGCGTTCGCGTAGTGGGAAGTTTAATGCGTACGACACCCACCAATGTCCTACTTGACTTAGTTAATGAACATCTTCTCTCATGCAGACAAAGATATCTGACCCGTAAGTACGCCTGTCGGGTTGCTTCACGTTCGGGTCATCAGTTGAACTCGATACTCGGTGAGTTTATACATAACTGGAGCCATATTTGTGAGGATAACTTTGATCTATTTGATGTGTTCAAAGAAATTATCCCCCTGGCCCAGCAGATTGAATCCAGTGCGTTGCCTGGTCTACTGTCCTTTCCGTTCTTCATACGATACTACAAATGTCCCGTTGACTTGGAAATTGGTCTGACAGTTAGGTCTGCCTTTTCCCCACACCTGGAATGGTCCAGGTATCTTGTCAAAGTTGGCGCTGAGCACGGTTTTTACACCAATGGCTCTAAACTCCCATCCCAGTGCGACTATGATGCAGCGGTAGGGTACGCAATCTACTCTGATTACCCAGAGCTTGTTCATTATGAAAGAATAAATAACCATTCTACTATATTTGATGCTGAGGCACAGGCCGCACTCTGTGCTCTTGAATACATTAATGAATTCAGATTCAATCTCTCGTATATTGCTACTGATTCACTTAGTGTTCTAGAATGCCTGGCATCCTCGGATCCTAGAAGCACTCACTCTACTGTAATTTACCCTAATAGACACATTTGTGAAAATATTGCACAAAAATGGCATCATGAATGGCGACGATTTTGCAATGATTGCACTAAGATGATTCGTCATAATGCAACAGTTTTGTCGAAATAAAATTTTGTAAATAATATTTGTCAAAAATTGCGAAAAAATCGTTATGCATTTCCACAGTATATACCTTCAATAGGCAAATTGTGAAAATATTGCACAAATATGACATCATGAGTGACGACGATTTCTTGCGTTTCTTTATATACAATCATATTTCTACATATTTGAAACATCACATAGCTGAATTTTTTTTCTCAATTATTGGACAATTTCTTTGTGAAATTAATTTTGCAAATATACTGCTAAGATGATTCGCCATATCGTTATTCTTTTGCCGAAATAGTATTTGGAAAGTAATTTTACAAACAACTACAATGATTTCAGAAAAGATCAATGTTTTTACATCTATTTTCTAAAATATGTCTGTATAAGTGCAAATTACAATTTTAGTGCAAGATTTCGTCACATAATTTTGTAAATGGTTTCCTATCAGGGTTACAAAATAAAATCCTTAGTTCGCGTGTGCCCGGGGTGTGCTGGTTCAGTTTATCTGGATCCCGGCACATAAAGACATCCTGGGTAAAATGAGCTGGCGGATTTGTATGCAAAAAAATCACTTAAACTTCCCGACCCGGGGATCACCGCTAAATGTCCTGCAGGATCTCTTGTCCCCGAACTTAAAGAACATTCCTTGATGGAGTCAAAAAACTATTTGCTAGAGGAAGCAAGGCATAAGGGTGAATTTACCGCTTTTTGGTCAAAAGGCGGAGCTAAAACCTAACCAATGTTTACTTCATCGCTTTAACATTGTGGAGATACGGAAAGGGGCGGGAACTAGCAGTCCAGGTTTATCATATATATAATACTTCTATATTGCTAGTACGGTGCAGACCTGAAGCCCAAATGTTACGGTGCAGACAATATAATAGCCTCTCTCTCCCGCAAGGTCCAGCTGCTTTGTGCGCGTGCGGTGAACATTCAAGCACGCTTGGGCATTTCTCTTTCTCGCGTTCTCTCTCACTTTCCAATGCTTTGTCTCGCTTGCACTCACTTAGTAGACGCGCCTGCGCATAATAACGCTCGACTATCTATGCCCATATTTGGACTTCGTGCGTCTCTCTTTCTCGAGCCTCGTGCCTCTCATTGCGAAGATACGCGACTAGCAATATAGAAGTATTATACTACCATGATCAAAAAATAACCGGAATTTTTAATTTAAACCTCGCGGGCTTATCGGTTTAGAATTCTGTTGTTTGTGTCACGTTGGCAGCACTGTTACGGACACCCATGCCAAGCTTCTGCTTATCAGCTGTTCA